TTTAAATAATGAATATAGTTTTTCTTTCTTTTTTTAAGTATTAGCGTATTTTAAATATGGCATATTAAACTTTCAGCCTACCTCACACATGATTGGTATAGAGGAGGTCTAATGGTCTAAGACATTTTAGTCACACTTTAAAAACTAATCAAACGTTTCAGATAAACCAAACCACTTACGTAGGTCAATACTAAGATATTCGTTCTATTTCTATTGGTTTCTAAAACCAAACAACTTTCTCTTCCACACACAGACCGTTTTCTACATACAGCGATCCACCATCTGTCACCTGGTTCAATTCAAAACGTCATTCAGGATATCCTTTCTCAAGAGTGAATATCTTATTTCTATTTTTTTTTCTTGAGAAATTTATGGCACAATATAGATGTTGGTATATTACTAAAGTCCATTCATATGGGTTGCATAGCCGTTTACCCACTTTTATCCATAATTCTTTAGAACAGTGTTTGTTACAGGTCCTTGTGAATGACCATTTGCCAAATACTTTCCACAGGAGCTCAAAGTACTTCAAATACTGTCCTGAGAGCCATTATTTTATCGTTTTGTTCAATGTCACCGCTGAATAACTTAATCCTTCAGTAGTGAGCAGCTTTTATATCGATGATTGTAAGACTTCTTGTCAGCTATCAAATATGGGATACATTGAGAAGCAGCTACAAACTGACCTCATTAAATTTTGTAAGTGAACAACTTCAAGTACTTTAATATTTTCCTCATCATCTAAACCTATTTGCATGCATGCATTTCTACCACCAAGATCCCAAGCTCCATGTGAGAAGTGCATAGATCCTCATGATGGCTGAGACAAAGTAATTAGGACTTCTCTTTGACAATAAGTTGACTTTTATTCAATGTATTGAATAATCAGTATATACATATATAAAGCAGTATTGACATTTGAGAGCAAAGTCTAATTGGGCTGTCTGTTGTGTCCACCGCGAGGAAACGAACCCCGGAATTTAGCGTTATAAGTCCATAGATTTACTGCTGTATCAACGGAGAACAAAACAGTGTTGTGTCTTAAGGCATATCGTGAACATTGTAAAACGTTATTTTGTTTTGTTAAATTTCTCACAAACCAATTTGAGACTATTTTTGCTAGCCGTTTTTAATTTAGAACTGATAGACTAGATAGAAGACAACTAGTCAATATCACCCAATGCCAGGTCTTGGGTTACCCTTAACAAATGAATATTGTGATTGACCATCACTTTATAACGCCCCCATAGCTGATGGAAACCGTAATTTTAGTGACGATATTCAGGTCCGCGACCCGTAGATTGTAAGTCCAAAATTGTGAGCATTTTAACTGGTTGTACCTTTTACGATTGACAGCGTCATTGACAATAGCGAAATAGACAGATTGACCAATTTTTACGAGCTACCGGCCTTTTGATTTAATTCAATTATTTTTAAAATTTTCCAGATCTGAAAAATATACATTTTATTTTACTGTTTTATATAACACAACAGAGCACTTTGCATGCAAGTTGTTTAACACAGATTCCCTATACAGTTTGACATCATAAAACCTCTAAACAACAACTAATAGTTTATATAAACACTTCCTTTCTGTGAGTATACTCATTCATTCATCGTATTATTTTAAACATTAATATATTGTTTAAAATAAAATAAATTATTCTCGCTATATAACGTGTTACTCCACTCACAATCTGTAAGTCGTGGGTTCGAATCCCCGTCACCGAACATGCTCGCACTTTCAGCAGTGGGATATTATGTAACAGTCTGTCCCACTATTCGCTTGTAAAAGAGTAGCTCCAGATTTGTCGGTAGGTGGTGTTGACTAGCTGCCTTCTCTCTAGCCTATCAGTGCTAAAGTAGGGACGGCTAACGCAAATAGCCCTCGAGTAAATTTACGCGAAATTCACAGCAAATCAGATGCAACCATATAACATGAGCTTGGTTAACCAGACTAATTCCATGTGATTAAAAAAATCAACATTTGTGAATCAACACTTTCTTCACTTTGATCAGCATATTTGCTGGAGCAGAATGCTGGACTGTAGTACAGTATGCAAACAAAGATGTAAACTGTATCAATGCCATAGCTGAACAACTTGTTCTGGCCTCAATAAATTGTGTTTTTGGATCTATGTGAGCTGTCTCAAGTATTGAATTACTTCATACAAGTAAATTTACTTTTACATTAGCGTAGTGCAGTTATCGTGGCTGTAAACGTAGGCCTACAACAAGTTCCAATGGTTTAAGTCTGTAAAAAGTTAATAAGGAAATAAAACTAATTTGTTACTGTTACGTGGGTTGAATGTTGAATTATTTTCATCATATAATTTATAAAACGTTACAAAAAAGTGTTCTAGAGTCTCGGTACATGTAATTTTAACTCTTAGGCCTATTCTTCTATGCATGTCACTAGTAACATGGATATAAAAGACACACACCTATTTTGTAGATTATTATAATATTGATATGAGAAATAATTAATTTAATCGAGCTAGTTCGACTGCAAAAAGGTTGTACGTCCATGTGTATACAAATTAAAGTAAATGTATAAAGTATGGAAATGTTTAACTTTAGAATAACATTTACCTAGAATACTAGTGAGATTTCAGGTGTTATCATCCACAGTCATTCTTTGTGCAGTATTCCTCGAATACTTTTCAGCTTCTTTGATAATGTTCTATAGTATGCTTACTGTCCTTTTCTTTAAAAAAAAGGTCCTGCAGCTCTTCATTTGTGAGTAAATGAAATATTGTGCCATGTGTCTATTCATTTTATGGGTTTGAGCAAATTGTTTATAATTAGGCCTAAACGAATCGGTGTGTTTTCACTGTGCTGCATAAACTGTCGTCTGTAATGTTCTGCTGCGATGAAACTCATTGATGGCCACAGCCTTGACAATCTTTCAACATTGATGCAGTTTATTAACAGGCTTTTCAAGGCAACAGTTCATATGTTTCTTATCACTTGATGGGTTTTCGGCCAGTCACGATGAAGAATTCATGCTAGGGATAGAATAATATTTATTAATGCTCGCGATTAGGAAATAACAATTTATTTAATCTTCAACAACTATAGTTTTCCTAAACTTAAGATAGACTACATTACACAACTGATAATAAGCATGACAACTGTTTCTTCGTGGACATTCTCGCTTTTTCATGGTTGTTTTATTAAAATGAATAAACAAGCAGATCATTCTGATTTGTCTGAGTGATTAGTTTTGACTTAAAACTTGTCTACTTGTACAGCGTTTAGAAATAATAAATATTTAACACGTATAAAGATATCAATTAATTAAACACGTCTTTAGCAGAATGTATTTTTTTTACATTTATTTCCTCAGTACGAAGTTTGATAAGAATTTAAATGTGTTTTAAAAATTAAGCAGTTGCAAAGTATAAACGAGAACTTCTACCAATAATAAACCGACTCAGTAGCCCCCCCCCCCAGTGGCACAGCGGGATGCCTGCTGACCTACAACGCTAGAAACCGGCTTTCGATACCAGTGGTGGGCAGAGCACATATAGCCCATTGTGTAGCTCTGTGCTTAATTACAAACAGACAAACCGACTCAATAATTCAAATACATATACTAAACGTCATATGATCTCCATATTAGGTTATAGTTTCAACTGTATTATTATCCAATGGATAATTGTTAGTCTTTGTTCAGCTCGACATTGATAGAGCTGAACCATAAATTTTCTCAGTACAGCTGTGTCAATAGAGATGTCTGTTATGTTTAGGTTACAGCCACTGAACACTGATCTGTTATGAAAGGACCTTTCAGTTTTCCTTATTGTGTTTTAATATATTTCTTTAAAGATTGAACATTTTCTTGATAATGCATGCCTCGCTTTTGACATAAAGTGAATAAAAGTGTGTAACTAACAGATGAATCTGATAAACATATAGATAGTAGATATCAGGAAATCTAATTTTTTGTCATTTTTAAAACAAGCTTTCTACATTCATTTAGAGCCACCATAATATCAACCGAACACGCCCAACTGAAACAGACAAATATCTTTATTATACATATATGAGAACAGTTAAAATAAGCACACACACACATGTTAATTTATATTTCAGGGTCACTCAGTATAGGTGGCGTGACGAATTTGTTTCTGTGTTTGCTGTTAAGGCTATCGAAACTCGATTTGTAGCGTTATAAACCCTTAGAGTTACCACTGAACCATAGGGGTACAGGCAAGGTAAGAAACATAGTAAAATTATATAAGGGTAAAACAATAGTCTATATATATATACATATATATATTAATATTTCTAGTTCAAAAATATTTAGAAGTTGACGATAAATTAAGTTAGAATATTAGAAAATGAACTTGCATAATTACAATACAGATGATAGCGAATTAAATTAAATCGCATGTACAATTTAGACAAATAACTCAATATACTGACTAAAATACACAGTAAGTCGTTATTTTGCTGTTGCTCATAGTAATTTTCAGTTTACAAACATTCAGATTTTGACAATTAAAAATATTTATTTACTAAACATGAGTCCTCTGATGCCTCTGCGGTAAGCTTCAGAATTTATAATGTGAAAATTTAGGGCTCCATCCCTGCTGGGGACACACCACAGGTAGCTTTGTGCTTAAAAACAAACAAGCTACATATGGGTTTTGAATTAACTAAACTAAGCGGAACTGAAGAACTAACAACAGTATCTCAATGTTTCATCTAAACATGGCTTCAGAGATATCTAAGCAAAAAACTGGGAACCGGTTTACATGTGGGTTATGAACAATAAATTTAATCTTATTCAGCTCAGGCGAAGTACGTGAATTTCTAACGCCTAACCGGAAGATTGAGTTTAATGTTCACATATTCAACATGTTTCACCTAGCGGAAAATGTAGTAACTACCCTACTCTCGATACACCAACAGCTAGAGTCAGAGGTAGCTAGATTAAGTTTTGACGTAGTCAGTTCCCAAGTACATTAAGTAGGGTGTTTGGTGTTTTAAAAAAACACCCTAGAGAGCTAGTAAAATAACATTTTTCAACAAAAAAAAAGCTTTCAACATAGCTTCTATACTGCTAAATTTAGTGCTCCTAAAATAGCTCTCGAAACTACTTTATTTTCTGAAAATATTTTGGTTGTACGTGAAGCTCTCACACTTTTCTCTGAGTAAACCAATGCATGTAGTTTATTCCCTGGTCTTCTAACAAAAAATGAGAAGTTCGACAAATTTCCAACGTTTCATTTCTCCGTCTTTCAGCAGTTTTTGACTGTGAACATCCCGTGAGATGATGCACGCTGTAGTTTTACAATTTTGAATCTGTACATAAAGACAGCAAGTCAACAGAGAACATTTGTAACATTTTACGGAAGATTGTCATTGTCAACCTTGCCGATTGTTAGTATTAGAATTTGAATATTAGACAATGAAGAACCAAAATTATCAGTCGTCTTCTCAGGAGATTCATCGGTAAGTTGAAATGATTTGACTTATAAACTATAGATTATACAGGTCTATGTAGGCTATATTTCAGGCATTTACTTTTTTATAATTACCACGCACTTGTTATTGAAATTCATATAACCAACAGACATTTCCGAGTCATAGAAATATAACTGATATATCATCTGTGATTTATGTGTAGTATCTTTGCACAATATATATATATATATATATTATATAATTAAAAAATATATTACATCGTAAGGAAAAATAACGTTAATTTAACACAGCATATCCAAACCTCAGATGAAAAATAATTAATTGTAATATTACATACAAAATGAATGAAAAAACAAACAAAACAAAACGGAAACAACGCAGCTACAAAACAGACATGTACCATCTGGGAACACACCATACGCATAAGGTGGGTAGTTATGCAATGTGCCTTGATTTTTGAGGTACTGGCGGAAGTAAGACCCAAATTGGCGCGGCATGGCCAGGTGGTTAAGGCACTCGACTCGCAATCTGAGGGTTGCGGGTTCGAATCCCTGTCACACCAAACATGCTCGCCCTTTCAGCCGTGGGGGCGTTATAATGTGACGATGAATCCCACTATTTGTTGGTAAAAGAGTAGCCCAAGAGTTGGCGGTGGGTGGTGATGACTAGCTGTTTTTCCTCTAGTCTTACACTGCTAAATTATGGACGGTAAGCGCAGATAGCCCTCGTGTAGCTTTGTGCGAAATTGAAAAACAAACAAACAAAACCCAAATTGCGTTGAGGGTACACCGTCTATCCAGTTTAACCTCAATTTCACAGATCTCATATTCTTAATAATAATAATAAAATGAGTAGATGTGGATGTTTTAGCCCACAATGTCCCACATCTTCACCACCTTTCGCTGTCTGCAGCCAGATGTGGGAAGATGGCTGCTAAAAAAAAAACTAGAACATAAAATAAATCTAAGAAAAAAATAAATAATTGGAATACATACATCAATGGGAGAGACAGTAAAACTGTTCTTAAAGTTGAAATTCAGGCCCCTATAATGATGTTTAAATATAAATGCCACGATGTTAAGGTATTACTATACAAGCCCAACCTACATTGTTAGTATAGCTCCCATCCTTCCTATAGCTACCAACATGGAGAGAAACTGAAAAATAAACCTTGTAATGAGCATAGATAATTAAGTATATTTTTCTTGCGTTCTTTGTTATAAAGATTAGAAAGAGTTGTTTAAGCAGTTGGATATCCTCACTGCTGACGAAATTCGGCCACCTTAGGAGATTTAGGTTAGATCTAAATTATATTGAATCGAGGAAAATAAATATAACTGTACGTGTGACAAATATTTAAAAGCTTCCTAGTACAATGTATAAATTATTGAGTGAGTTAATGAGTAATCGATGAGTGAATCAGTTCAGTTCTAGTTAATGTTTTTCTTTTTTGTTTGTTTGTAGTTAAGCAAAAAGCTACACATTATGTGCTGTGAACACCACGTGTACCCAGTTAGTGAGTTATACAGTGATAGGTAGTGCATCTGTTATTCAGTTAGTCAGTCAGGGAGTTAGTAAACATGTTTGTTGTCGATCAGTTAACACCAGCAAGATGTTAACGCCGTAGACTGATATGAACTTAGTGGTAGCAGATCCCCATAATCTAGAGCGTATTTGGACAACACTTGATTCATTATTAAGATAAATTAATAATTTATGTAAAGAACAATATGAATTTAAGACACATTCTAAATAACAACATTTTCTGTCAAAACCAAGAAAAGTATGTATGCCCCACTTCCCTCACGCTAGTTAAGGATTGTTTGTTTTGTTTGTTTCTTTGAATTTCGCGCAAAGCTACACGAGGGCTATCTGCGCTAGACGTCCCTAATTTAGCAGTGTAAGACTAGAGGGAAGGCAGCTAGTCATCACCACCCACCGCCAACTCTTGGGCTACCCTTTTATCAACGAATAGCGGGATTGACCGTCACATTATAACGCCCCCACGGCTGAAAGGGCGAGCATGTTTGGTGGGATGGGGATTCGAACCCACGACCCTCAGATTGCGAGTCGAGCACCTTATCCACCTGGCCATGCCGGGCTCTAGTTAAAGACCTATTGAACTTGAGCATATTTGTATCAGATTACAAACTTCCAATGTGATGATGTTATTAGCACAAGTAGTATTGAAATGTTGTTGAAAGTCTTCGTAACCAACTTAAACAATTTGCCTCAGAAATAAAAGTTTATAACAATTTAAAGGAAAAACAAATATTTAACAACAGAGTTATCACGCTATATTTCTTACGCAATATGTATAATGGTTGCAGATGAAATATAAAAAGATAAAATCCCTTATAAATGTTCATTTGCTACCAGTGAATGACTCTAAAAAGCAAATCTTGTTAAATATTTGGACTAAAGTAACAACTGAAATACTAAAATCACTCTTCCTGCCTCAAAAAATATTACTAATAGTTTACCATTTTTAGAATATTTGCACAGATGACTCAAATAGTACTACCGCACTATTTTATAGAACATGTAAACTAATGTTTCAAATCATATTACTATACTATTACCCAGAACCTGTAAAATAATGATCAAATCTTATTACTATATACATATTCTTAGCAATTGCATTGATGAATAAAATCATACTATTAGAGTTACATCATTACTAATATTACGATATTTTACCCAAGAATCAGGCTTGTTCTGAGGTGTAATTATTTAATGCAATACGTGTGCTGAAATGCGCGTGAAAGTAAAAGCCGGCTTCTATATTGATTGTTCATGGATTATATTGGATTTTGAAGCAGACAGGAGTTTCAACCTTAAAAGTTGATGAACTAATCAGAAACTGATGATACATCACAGTTTAATTAGATTAAAGCCAAGTATGTTATCTCATAATCTCAAATCTCAGGTTTCCTATGTCAACAATCATTATATATATATACACACACATACAATCTAAGGAAAACAAAGGACTGTTGATCCATTTATGTCGCCCCATCCTCTAAATTAAACTTTAAAATGAAAATAAAACACTCAAAGCCAGTCCTTATCTTTCAAATGTTTAAAAAGCCTTCCCTTAAACACCGGTAAATTAACTGCATCCACCTCATCTGAAGGCTAATCATTTCGAAGTTCAACCAACGTGTTAGAAAAATAAAGCTGTCTTAGCTGAAGATGATTACTAACCTGCTGAAATTTATATTTATGTCCTCTAGTCATACCATTCTCACCATTAAATCCAAAAAAGGTGATGCATCAACACTATCAATTTCCTTAATTTTGAAAATCTCACTCAAATACCCTTTAACTTTTCCCTTTTAAAGAGAAAATTCAGAGATTTTAATCTATTCTCGTATAACAACTATTCTGTCCCAGGTATTATCTTAGTAGCCCTCCTCTGTACCCTATCCAATGTACTTCCTAAGGTAAGGTACTTGTTACTGAACACAAAATCTTTGACTTACTTTCAATAATTATGTAAATACAACATAGAATTCTATTTTTTCTAGCAACAGCACGCTGCTTCGTTGGTTTAAGAGCCTGATCAACCTAAACACCAAGATCCTTTTCTTTCATAACACTTTGAGATTATTCCCATCAAATTATACTTGTAATTTAAATCATAATAACCTTGAATTACCTTGAATTCATTAGAATCAAAAGTCATCTTCCATTTATTTTCACAGCTAGCCAAGTAATCCATATCCTGTTGTAAAGCAGCATTATCCTCTTTACAGCCAGTAACACCCAACACCTTAATATCATAAGTAAACATAAAAAAATTGTTGACCACTCCTTTCATCTATGTTATTGTAACATTGAGTACTTAGGTTCCCCACATAACACCTTAATCCAGTTTTGCTGAACTCCATTTATAAAAAACCCTTTTTTATTTCCATCCAGCCAGTTATCTATCCAGTGACCCAACCTTAGTAAGGCAAAATGTTCTTCTAGTGAAACCATGCTGACTATTCAACAAAAAGGTTTATCAGACTTTCAAAAACTTTTCCCATTATTGATGAAAGACTAATGGGCTTATAATTACTGAGACAATTTTTTTATAATCTTCCTTAAAGAAAGGAGTAATATTAGCCAAGTTCCAATCATCTGGCATATGCTTACTGTTGAAGGACTTACAAAAAATAGTAGCTATTGGGTCATATATTCAATCTTTAACCTCTTTCAAAATCCCTGGGAAAATATTATATGGACCAGGAGCCTTATCATTTTTTAAACTTCCTAATTATTTCTTAACAGGCTCAGAATTAATGTGACCATGTTATTCGACCTTGCTTTCATCTAGTAACTGTTCAGGACGAGGAATGTTCCTTAACTGTTCATTAGTAAAACAAGTAGAACAAGTAGAATATAATAACCAGCTTTCTCCTAATCATGAGGTACGAGTTTTCCTGTATCACCCTTCAAAAGTCCTACTATCATCCTAACATTTTACTTACTTTTAATATATTTAAAAAAAACATACTATTCATTTCATTTTCGGCCAACTATTTTCTTATACTTTTTTATTTTCTAATTTCCAGTTTAACCAACTCTCTCGATCTTGTATAATTCTGTAAATCTTCCCTCGTAGGAGTCAGTTTAAACTCCTTAAATGTATATTGTTTTTTGTTAATTTTGTCTATTAAACCCTTTGTATGCTAACCTGATTTTTTACTTGCGACCACCTTTTCTTTTCTATAATAAAATGCCTATCTTCAATATATATAAAAAAATATTTTAATGTTTCAACATTCTAGCAGTATCTCCAATTAATTCAGTTGACCAATTCCTAACAGATAATTATTGTTTCATCCCTTCAAAATTTGCTTTTTTTAAAAAAAAATTTGGAACCAAAATCTCGTTATTCCTTATCTCCATATGCAGTAAAACATGTGACCTAATTGAGCAAATGATCACTTCCTCCAAGATGTTCCCCGATCTTCACTCTATCAACCATTTCTGTATTTGGGTTAGACTGGTTTGTTTTGAATCTCACGAAAAGCTAC